TACTTCCTGTGGGACATCTTCATCCTGTTCACCACAACCACTTTCCTCATTTATGTCAGTGAGTTTGTTGTCACTAAGTCCCCTGGCTGCACATCTAGAGTCTTGCATGGTGACAAGGTCAGCATTTCTATGGTTGGCTATTTTTTCTAAAAATCTGTTCACATTGGATTAGAATTTCACTTCCAGTGTTATCACTTCCTTTCTTTGTTGTAATTTCGTGTTTGTTGACCAATTCCCTCTTTGAAGTATATCCAGTTTTTTTTTTGTTTTTTTTTTTTTGTCTTTTTGTCTTTTTCCGTGTCCCGCAACGGATCGCAACCCTCAGTGTTGCCCCCGTACCGGACCGGGGACCAGCAACGGGATCGCAACCCTTGGTGTTGCTCCCACACCTCGCTCAGCCAGTGAGCGGGAACCGGTCCGTATGTGGGATCCGAACCCTCGGGCAGGAGCGCCACCGCGCTTCCCAAGCGGCACACTATCCAGTGTGCCACCGGGCCGGCCCGAAGTATATCCAGTTTTGTGGAATGTCTTGGGGATTCATTACTAGGAAATAAGCAGGCAGCACAACTGCATGCTTTGCTGTCAGTGTGTGAACTGAATAACAGATATGCTGTGACCAATCACCAACAGACTTTGAAAGAAGTGACTAATTGGTTAATGATCATGATGAGATTTGTGGATGGAAGAGCTAGTAGCTTGTGTGGTCACTCAAAGTTAAGACACCTTGGTAACTGTAATCTGAATTCTGTTGTTGGGGAACCAGTGTTTAAATCACAGTAACTAAAATTCATGCATATTGGAAGCATACAAAGTGATTTATACCTGTATTAATAATGAAATATTAGTTCTATTTCTTGATCTATTCCACGATGCTGGTCCATGGATGTTCATTTCTTGAAATTCATTGAGCAACACATGCATAATTTGCATGCTTTTCCATATTTATGATATACTTCAGCAAAAATTTTTCCTTAAGAATCATTTCAATATAATTCACAACATTAACAGAATAAAGGAGAAAAATCATATGATCATCTCAACAGAAGCAGAAAAAGCATTTGATAAAATTCAGTACCCTCTCATTCATAAAAATAAAAACAGCAAACTAAAAATGGAGGCAATTTCATCAATCTACTAAAGGTCATTACAAAAAACGACACCAAGCATCATACTTAATAGTACATTTATGGATACCTTCCTCCTCAGATTGAGAATGAGACAAAGATGACTTGCTATCATTACGTCTATTCAACATTATACAGGAGGTGCCAGCTCAGAGAAACTACCTAACGTCACTGAAAACTATTAAAGAGCACCTAATTAAACTGAAGGATATACCATGTTCATGAATTAGAAGATGTCACTTCAGCTGAAATTGATCTATAGATTCATTCCAATCTAATCAAAATCAGAGTAGGTTGTATGGGTGTGTGTGTGTAAATGGACAAGCTGATTAGAAATGTAAAGGGACAGGAATAGTCAGGGCAATCTCGAAGAAGAACAAAATTGGAAGAGTGACATTTTTAGCCATTGGGCTGTGTTATATAAAGTTATGGTAATTAAAACAGCATAAAGAATTAGAAAAAACAGCATAAGAATTATTGGCAAAAGAATAGACAAATAAACAAATGAAACAAAATAGAGTCCAGAAACAGACCCACACATGCACACTTGGCTTTATAAGTTGATGCTGCCAAGCAACAGGGTAAAGGAAGAACTTTTTAATAAATGGTTCTGGGTCAACTGAATATTCACAAAAAAGTCAATCTTGACCTCTATGATATACCATACATAAAATATGTTCCAGGTGCATTGTAGATCTAACTGTAAAAGATAAAATAGTAAAAATCCTAGAACAAAAAAATAGCAGAATATCTTCGTGAACATGGAATAGGTAAATTTTAAACAGAACACTAAAAGCAGTACCCAAAGTAGAAAGAATAAAGAATTATATTAAAATTTGGAATTTGTATTCATCACAAGGCACCATTAAGAAAATGAAAAGGCAAATTATAGACTGGAGAAGGTATTTTCAATACACCTATCCAACAATAGACTCGTATATTGATATAAAGAACTCCTACACAGCTATAAGAAAAAGATAGTCTAAAAGACAAAGGGAAAGATACTTCACAAAAGGGGATATTCAAAAAGCCAATAAACATAAAAATGTGTTCAATCTCAACAGGCCTCAGGGAAACACAAAATAAAATGCAAAAGTAAAAACATAATTAAACACCACTATAAGCACAAAACAATGGCTAAAATTAAAGACACTGACAAATAATTAATAAAAGAGACATCTGGCAAGGACCTGGAGTACCTGCAATTTCTATACCAGGTTTGTAGGAATGTACTGGTACAACCACTTCATAAAAATATTTGACACTAGCTCCTGAAGTTGAACGTATGCAAACCTAATTACCAGAAATTCCACTCATAGATATTTATCCTACAGAAATTTATACATGTATCCACCAAAGCACATACCATAGAATGTTCCTACTGGCACCATTGGTAGGAGTGCAAAATTGAAAATAACCAACATTAAAATGGACATATAAATTATGGCATCTTCATAAAACTGAATATGTAGCAATGAGAATAAGCAAACCATGATTTGGATGGATCTCACAAACATAATGTAAGCAAAAGACGTCAGACATAAAAGAGTACATATATATGATTCCATTTATAAAGAGTTCAAAACAGGGCAAAAGTAACTCATTGTGAGTGAAATCAGAACAGTGGTAAGCCCGGAAGGAGAGAGAACGAGAGGGCACGAGGCGGTTCCGGCAGGTTCTGCTTCATCTGATTAACTGGGTGTGATCTCTTTTGTACTTGGCTAAAAGTTTTACTTAAAAAAAAAAAAAAAGAAGAAGAAGCTGGCAGATGTACATGCACTGCTTAGATAATCATGATATATCTCTGGGGGCGGGAGGGGGGAGAAGCTGATTGTAGATCACCAAATATGATATGATTCTATACGTGTAAGGAAAACAAAAACATGAATTATTATATCCAAAATAAATCTATGAAGGATTTATTAACAATGCTTATCTCTTTCAAATTTTATTTTTTGCTTTATAAAATTTTGGGATATTTAAAAGAAACTAAGCATTAGTTATGTGTTTGAGACGAAAAATAATAAATATTAAAAAAGGAACAACTTTCTAGATGAAATTTGCACAATTTCAAAGATGTCTCCTGGTGTGGCACAATTCAGTGGCCCTGATAGTGACATCGGTTTGAGGTACCAAAGAGCTGAATTTTAGCTGCTCTGGTTCTGGGCTCTCAAAAGGAGCGGAAGACACAGCTCTTAGAGGAGCGGATAGATCCTTTACCATTAACGCAAATGCACTCTAATTAGCCTCACTCAGCTTGGGTTTGAGGAGCAGATTTTGTCCCGTTCTCTGTGGAACACTCACTGAGCAAAGGTAAAAACCTGAGAGGCCCCCACACAGATGCCCGACTCCATCCCTGAGAATGGACTTGGGGTCGCCCAACATGTCAGTTCTATGTCCTGTGTTCTTCCACTTAAAAAAAGTCCCAAAGGACAAGGGCTGAGTAAAAACCTGAGAGGCCCCCACACAGATGCCCGACTCCATCCCTGAGAATGGACTTGGGGTCACCCAACATGTCAGTTCTATGTCCTGTGTTCTTTCACTTAAAAAAAGTCCCAAAGGACAAGGGCTGAATGTCATGTCTTAGGTGTAACACTCAATAAGCTTACCTGTAAACCTTCAGTCAGGCAAACTCCAACTTATTCCTGTCAAGTTTACCACTGCATGTCCTTTTAAGATAATCATGCTTTCCTCAACTAGTGTCTATCACACAACATAATTAAAATTTTCTGTCACCCAATCTTCTTTTTACACATTTTTATGGGAAAGGAAAGAGTGTTGAACATCTATGAATTATATTTGAAAATAATGGATGGCCTTAAAAATATTTTTATTTAATACACCAAGCATATCTATTGTGAATAAATTGATATGCTTTAGAAAATAAGGATGTTTACAAGTAAAAATAGAAAACATGCCCAAGATACAAAAAACAGAAGCTGCAAGTGCATGTGTACATTTGTGTCTCCCAAATCCAGTGTGTACTACTTCCCCTTATAGGAGAAACAAAGAACAAATATTTTTCTTTAAAAAAAAGGAAAAAGAGACTCCTAATGATTGAAGAAGGCATTCATTCAAGTCGATGCCCAGACCAAAAAAAACCCAAAAAAGACCAAAAGGTAAGAACTTGGAAATTATGCTCAGATACACAGGCTTAAGAAAAATTATAGGGAAATATTAAATAATTATTTAATGGCACAGTAGTAAAATATTTATTCTCATTATTTTGTCTCATCCAGGTTAGATCCAGAGCAAATGAGCTGAATTATAAAAACAGGGATTAGACCAATACAAGGAAGAGCCACTTTGGGTGACAAAAGCCTAGACAGTAAAGCAGGTCCTAACTCCAGCTTGTCAGTTTCCATGGAACGGAATGGGTCCCTGATGGTATTTCCCCGACACAGGCTCACGGGCAGCTATGTGTTCTGCATAGGGCAGGCTGCTCCACTGCAAGCTCTTCTGATGTCAATGTCATATCTGTTACCACACACCTCTGCTGTGAGGAAATCGAAGTGTTTAAAGAGCACAGTGCACGCATGAATAAATAAAAGCGTATGGGTAAAAACTTTTTATAGGTGATGCAGAAAAGAACAAATGCATATTGGACAACTCGGAAGAGATTTTACACAAATGCATTTTGCTAATGATATTTTCTATTTTTGAACGGATGATCCTCATTACTACTTTTACTATGTGAACTCCAAAATTGTGTATCTGTTTTAACAGGAGCATATACATAATTACGCTATGGAGATATTTTCAAAAGTGTCCACATATGAATTAAAACACCAGCATTTTTTAAGGTTTCTTACAAGGTCCCAAAATGTGTTGTTTACAGAATGAAGGCTTGGTAAAATGGATGAGAACATTTGTATGGAGCCATTTCTAAAATATCATTTATTTTGTTTACAGCAAGCTTTAGCGCAGGCTATATTACACAGAAATTCTTCCGATGAGGGAGAAACATGTAGATGCACAACGAAACCAAAGTAACTCAACTGCCCTCCACTGTCGGAGGAAAAGGTCCTCACATTTTTAGCTGAAATGAAATGAAGCTTCCTCCAAACACTCTGTCCCTGATGGAAGAGGGCAGTCCAGTGTTGGTCACAGACTGCACAGCCCTCTGTTCGGTGACTGCCAAGCACACTCTTTTAAGACAAGTCAAATGGGCAATTGTATTGAAAATGAAGTGCTGTGCTACCAAACTGGGCTAATTTGCTGCACTTCTGGCGAAATCAGCAGAAAACTCACTCATTTTCCTTTCTCTGGAAGATAAACAGATCTCCTACTGTGTTCCCGAAGACAAAAACACCCAGAATTGCTGTTTGAAGACATAGGATATTAATTACAAATTACCAATGTTTTCTTCTGAAAAACTTAAAAGTTTTGCACTAAAATACCACGGCTTGGGGAAAATTTATTCTTTAGCTTGCTACAACATAATTTAACCTCAAAATTCTGTCTATATTGATCCTTCACTGGAAAGAAACATAACTAAAGGAAAACATGCAATTCTTCTTCCTATACTCCAACAAATCCCTCAGCTCTGATGGTTAAACTTTCTTCCAAATACCTCCTGTCCTGTCTTATTAATGAGGTGCATTTTCTAGTCTCCCAACTTATCAAATGCTGGGAGACACACTCCTGGTTTCCCTCCATGGCCTCTGCAGATGGTAGAGAGAGACAGGGCCATCAACACTCTGACTTCAGCAGATTCAGATGTGTACTATCATGAGTGGGGACCGCAGAGATGATAGAGTCTAGTCTTTTTATTTTAAAAATGAGAAAATTAAGGATACAAGTAGTGGGAGTGACTGAACGTGTAATTTTGGCAGGGTTGGGACTAGCACACAAATCTCCTGATTTCTAGGCAGGCTCTTTCCAGCATTCCCTACTGGAATGAGAAAACCAAACAAACAAAGAAGACATTCTGAACAACAAAACGTATATTCTGTGTTTTTGCTAGTGTTTTTGTTTTTACCTCTGAAGAGATTATCCAAGTCAATATCTTCTTTTCCTTTGATTTTCAAACACTTTGCCTGCTGTACAAGTCTGGGCAAAGAACAGAAATAAAATCTAGATTCATTATCCTGTGAGGTAGGAATAAATCATGATAGCAGCACAAATTTACATAGAAATCACAGGGTAAACAAGAGAGAACTACCAGGTCTTCTGCAGCACAGAGCTTTGTTAGAATTTTTTTCAGTTTAAGATTTTAAAAATACACTTTTGTTCAGAAACTCTGAAACCCAAAACTTAAAAGTCTTCTTTCCCTCATTCTATTATATAGCAGAAAGTTTCTAAAACTCTCTGGAGAATAATCTCTTCAGATTCTGAAGAGCAACTATCAGGGATGGTGGGTGATACTATGGTAGGTGGGTAAATAATTGCTACTGATGATTTTGATGATTATTTTAATCAGATTACAGACATTGTGCTCAAACAACTGTGTAAAGTAATGTAGTTATGTTGCTGAATGTCAGAGAATTAATTAACTTTTTAAATGCTGCAGTATGCAGTAAGGGCTGATTTTGTAACTCTTTTGTCATGGACCTTTATTAAAATTTGAGGCTGGGGGCCGGCCCGGTGGCGCACTGCTACCGGGCTGATTTTGTAACTCTTTTGTCATGGACCTTTATTAAAATTTGAGGCTGGGGGCCGGCCCAGTGGCGCACTGCTACCGTGCGCCACTTGGGAGCGTGGCAGTGCTCCCGCTGAGGGTTCGGATCCCACATACAGACCAGTTCCCGCTCACTGGCTG